GGTGGACAAGATATTTAGAAAGACCCATCAATCAGATGTATCATTCGGTCGTTACGGCCTCCACTTTCCTAGTTCGTGCTTGGACTTTTCGTTATGGTCTTCCTAAGATGTCCGTCAGACTCGGCGATTATGCCGAGCGATAGACAATCGCGATCGCCCATCGCTCGGCACAATCGTCGTGTCTGACGGAAATCTAACGCATTCTCGTCGCACAGCCCGGTTTTATGCTCGTCCCTTCTGTGCGTCAGTGCCAGTTTATCCAGTGTACCAACCTTAATTACGGAAATCTTGTTGTGAGGGAATTGCGGTTTCCATTTGTTGTTGTACGGGAAGACACTTTGATTGCCGTGTCCGTAACCGGCATCGATCCAAACGAAAAATTCAGTCGAGAATGGATCCTCCAGCTGAAAACCTCTTCTTTTTCATTTCAAGCAATCAGTCATTGTATCACTCTGAGTTTGAATGTTGTTACTCACAGTTGCATTGTAGAGAAAATAGGTTTTTGAATTGACGAGCACATCGTACTCGGCACTTCGCGCTTCCGGGTGGTCTTTCATCGCTGGATCCCAAATCGACCGCCACAGTTTGTCGTTGTTGTGCTCGTCTTCGATGATTTTAGTCGCAGCATCCAAATGACGTGAGAGCGGAAGATCTTTCAGAGTGATTAAGTGGATCTGAATTGTATTACCATCGCTAATCTTATCAATTGAAATGGCATATCCTTTTCAAATCGATGATAAGGTCGTCTCATCAATGCTGACTTTGAAGCATTATGTAATTTGGACTAGAAAGGAGCTTGTAAACGATAAAACCCATTCCATCAAGACGAGTCACGGTTAAGGAATCCTCAACACGGGTTTCTATATGCTTGGTTGAAGGGGGGGGGTATCTGATAGACACCTTTGATTGTCGAAAGGTCTTTACAGAGTAAGGCAGGGTCCACCGCCCGTTCGCATTATTCGAACCAAAGGGTCGCGTTTGCGATTTGGGGGGAGGTCGTATTTGGGGTGAGCAAGGTTGTGTTTGGGAAAAGTGCGAAGTGCGATCGTATTTGTGGAAGTTGAAGGCGTCGTGTTTGCAGGAAAGGGGGTCATTTTGCGGTTTTTGGATGAGTCAGACGAAAGCTCGCGATCGAGGTGAAACCCTCCCCACCCTGCTCTGCTCGACGGCCGTTCCGAAGGAAAAAGCGGGCAGATTGGGCTGTGTCGATCGGCCTGAGAATCAAATATAATAGAAACAGCCATCATGGCGAGGGTGGTGGTTGGGATAGATGGAAGGGGGAGGGTTTCAAGGAGAGCCTTCTAAGGCTGATTGTGATGGTGCAGGGACGCATCGAGACCCCACTCCAGGGAGAGTCGCAAAATTTTTGAGAAAACGAACGCGACGCTTGACACTTGTTGGAGGGGGTTACAAATTGTGGAGAATAATGAAAACCAGCGCCGAGCCACTTTGCTACTTTTCGGCAAGCACCTACACATTCCTCCCTTTCGCATTTTCGTAGCTTCGAGGAGCAAATTTGACAGAGTGTCATGATGTAGGAGGTCCACCGTCATTGTTGACTCCATCAGCCATCGTAAGAGGGCTGTAAGTAGAGGAGGATGGCAAGAAAGTTAGAGGGATTATGGGTCGAGAAGAGATATGGAGACGAAAGGGGAAAGGCGGTCGTACTGGTCAAATTTCCTGGATATGTGGGTTGAATTGGTCATATCAGCAGCAGCACACTCCTTTTCCGCAAAACTTTATGTGGATTGAATTGGTCATATCAGCAGCAGCACACTCCTTTTCCGCAAAACTTTCCCGTCAAAAATGACGCTTAGGAATTTTGGCTGAATCCTCAGGATCCCTGATATAACAACATAAGTGATGAGAGCATTTTCTGCCTTGATATCATTCCAACAATTACACAGCTTTTTGTGTTCCTAGTATTCAGAAGGAAGCTGCTTTGGCAGTTTTCTTTTTCGCCGGACATCCTCCAAGAAGCAAAAAAGCATTGAGAATCACTTGAGAAGCAAGAGAAGCTCACCTTCGTGCGATGTATTTCACCCATGTTTTTCCTGTATTTGTGGATGAAACTATAACTTGATTCGTCAGTGAAGATTACCTGGAAAGAAGGCTACCTCACCAGTTTATGAAATTGAATCAGTGGCTAGATGCAAGTCAAAGTTCTCTAAAATCTTTCGGTAAGAATATCTTAAGACGAACGTATCATCTTTGTAACCTCTACATGCTTGAGAAAAAAGATGGAGTTCTCGAAATCTAGTCTATCAAAAGCCATGCAGCTGCCACACAAGGTTCTCACAATAATATGAAAAAGTGTGTACTACGTTGATCAATCTCTTCAGCATTAAGCGCAGAGGTAAAAAAAATTGAGCCCTACTAAGGTGATTTCTTTCAAACAAGCTCTTCAGAAGCTCAGCTGCCTCCATGTAGGTTAAATAATGACTAGGTGTTGGGCATGAAATTTTGCTACCTAGTAATGTACCGCTCACTAACCCCTCTCTCAAACGCAGAGCACTACATACAGCTTGCTTGCACTACAACAGAACTGCTACAATGCCTATGATCATTAGCTCGCCCATTGGATACGAGAAAGGACCTAAGGTGCCTGTTGCCTGTACATCAATGTATACACGCTCAGCGCAAACGTTGCACTCCTAGCCAGCGTGGTCCAGATACTGCTCATGGGCTCATTCCTTTTACGTCGTACAGTTAGACAGGTTCTGACGCTATCAACGATCATTGATGAATTCCGATTTGAAAAGTGCGAGAAGCTGACCACCTCGCCTTTTGCATTAGAAACGAAAATGATAAGAGCTTGTTGAGAAGGAGCAAACTCACAAGGG